ATTAAAGATGCTAAAATGACCTGCCGGTCTGTGATTGATGGGCTGTGTGAAAGTGGGCGGCGATTCCACAGGATGGTATGACAGGGGCTTTTAATTATGAGAACCTCATATTGATGTTGTCAGTTCTACCGCTACGGGCAGCAGGTATGTGAGGGGAATGCAATTCACCCCCAGTAGCACTGCACACGATGCAATCGAGTGAAAATGCACCGTCATCATCATGCCGAGTGACAAAGCCCATCTCCCGCGTTCGCTTTCGTTTATTGTCCAAAATGAATTCATTGAAGATTGATGGGCCGTCACGCATCAAATGAACCGACCTCGTCCTGCAGAACTATTTCATCGATGTCACTTCAATATGTTAGGCTTTGCTTTTGGATACCCTTCAAAGTCACCAATTTCAACGGCATTAAATCCAGACGTGCGTTGGCAGTGCCCGTAGGTGTGCTTATTGTCCTCTGTGTAAAACTGGAACTATGGCCGAATCCATATGGGCCATTTTCATTTCGTTGGATTAATAACGGGCAGCGTGGTCAACATGTAAACTCCAGCTCCGGCCTTCCTGCGTGGAGTTTACATGTTTTGCCCGGGCCTGCGTGGGTTTTCTCCGGGTACTCTGGTTTCCTCCCACGTTCCAAAAACATGCATCGGGACAATTTAGAAAGTTCAATCAGCCTGCCGTGCATGTTTTTGGAATGTGGGAGGAAACCGGAGTACCCAAAGAAAACCCACACAGGCCCGGGTAGAACATGCAAACTCCACACAGGAAGGCCGCAGCCGGGATCGAACTCATGACCTCTGCACTGTGAGGTCAACACGCTAACCACTGGAGCACCGGGCCGCCCGCTTTAAGTGACTTACATTGCAAATTAGATTTACAGTGTTTGTTTGAGGCATTACATTTAATCGTGTAAAAAAATAATAACCGCAGAACAAAAAGGTGACCTTTCACGAGCCATTATAATTATATCCAGTATTTCCGGCAATGCCCGTGCGTCCCCTTGTGCTGTTGCTCTTCTTGCAAATTGATTCGTCACAGTCAGAATGACTTTGACGGTTCGGTGTAATATATTCTGCATCAACTGTAATTGCAGCAAAGCCCATCATTACGCAATTAGATCACAATCATTGTACCGCAGTTTCTCTTAAACCCTCCCCCCCCCCAACATTTTTTTTAAGGTTCTTCAGATGCTTATCACTCACTGGTGTTTGTCAACGACAAACGTGATATTTAAAAACGTCTCACTCAACATGATTTGTGCATTTAACGGCACTTAACAATATTAAAACATCATACGAATACATCAGCGATTCTTAAAAAAAAAAAAAAAAAAAACAACAAAAACAACAACTAATCCTTGGACGATGATCAAGATCGTCAAGTAAGCACACAGCCATTCCTTCTTTCCGAAGCTGTTGTAATGCTGCGCAAGGTCAATCACTCTCAGTCGTACGATTACGTGGCCTGACATGAGTTTTGTCCCACGCATGAGTTGGCCAGCTGCAGCTGCGGTCTGAAACTCCCAGCGCAGTATTTATGAGGGATGTGGCCTTGAAATCACATCAAGCTCAATGGTTGCACAATGGCGCTGGTGATTCGAGAATACTCTAATACCACAGAGTCCAGAAACACCAAGTCTGCCAATAGCGTGGAGCACTTTTATTCATCATCTTTGCAAGCATGAACTCTTCAACCTGTTTCACAATGTTTTGGTCTGCCAAGGTTTTTCTCTCAAAGGTGACGGCTCTTGTCCAAGTGATGACCGCTGATTTGAAAGGAGCCGTGAATTGATGGTCAAAACATGTTCCTCGTTTGTTTATTTCACCAACGCAGAGACTATTCTTCCACTCACAATTTGTAAAAACATTTACTCGTGACAACTGGTCCATTTCCAAAGCGCCGACTGTTAAAACATGAGGCACAAGTCGAATTCTGTCCACTTCCAAAAACTGTGTATCAGATCAGTATTTATTTTTTTTCAAATTCCAATATTCCAACATATTTTGCAGAATGAAAGGATTCCACTCTTTATCTCTAATTTGTCTTACTACTCCCGGCCCCCACCCCCCCCTCCATCTGCAAAGCTTCTTAAAGGCTAGTACAGAGCCAATTTGACATGTTCGGTACACACGAGACTGCTTGTCCTTGATTTCGATCCAACTGGAAAAAGCCCCGCAGGCTTTCAATATTTAAACAAAGGTAGACGTAATAATAGCAGGTCATTGTGCTGCAAGAATAAAAGAAGAGTGACGAGGGACGGCTCCCGCCCACCTCTTGAGGGTGGGCGCAGTTCAAATAAGGGGAAGGGAGCTTTGGCTGAACAACTTAGCAAAGTAACGATGCATTGCAAAACATGTCAAAATAGAATCAGCAGGAGGTGAAATCACAGTTAATCAAAGTGTATTTTAGAGGTGGGAAGCAAATGGCCATCAATTTTCCATCAATACGGGAGCGGGTATTTGGGAATGTAGGCCAATGTATGTCATCGATTAACGCCAACAGTGAACTTGTGTTCTAGTCATGTTTGGATTGAAAATACAATTGATTCGACAGGGGAGAAAAAAAAAACTCCATAACATTACTATATGCAATACTGAAGGCAAAGAATAAGTGCTGCAACTACATTGATTTTTTTTTTTTTTTTTTTTTTTTTTGCTATACCATAATGCCAAGAGGCTTACAAGCCTTTTCGGAGCAGGCCTGAGAAGTGAAATGTTGATTCATGTGTCACATGCTTGTTTACAGAAATGGAAGTAAGAGGAATATCTGATATGGAGACATTAATGAGGAGCTCATCCTTGTACAGTGAAGAACATGAGATCTGAGTGACGAGGCTTCAGAAAGACTCGCCAGCTGATTGGGCTCAGAAGCTTCTGCGTTCGTGCCTTGATGCTCAAGGCTGCCACCACGCAGGCGATGCAGGCAAATCCAGCCTGCAGGTTAAAACGATTTTTTTCCCCCTACGTTCGTCAATAAGTGAATGCAAAAACGAAGCATTTGCCCGTCAATATTTCCTGCATATTTATCGGAACCTCCAACCATATTGCTCATATTATAGGATTCACCGGATGAACGACCCACAGCTATCATTTCATGTCTGTCGAAAAAGCACATCTCTTTGATGCTGATTTTACATTTTTCTCGCACATTTGGTTTTTGATTTTTTTTTTTCCATTTTTTTGTTTTTAAGTTTGACCTATATGCGCGTGCCCGATATGGATTTTACCATCCATCCATTTTCCAATCTGCTTATCCTTATGAGCGTCGCGGGCATGTCTTCGGATACAAGGCGGGGGACACCCTGAACTGGTTGCCAGCCAATCGCAGGGCACACACAGACAAACGACCATTCGTGCTCACGATCACATCTAGGGACAATTTGGTATACCCAGCCAACCTGCCATGCAATTTTTTGGAATGTGGGAGGGAACCGGAGCACCCAGAGAAAACCCACACAGGAAGGCCGGAGCCAGAATCAAACCCTGCGCACCTGCACTGTTGTATTTTTTGGCTATGACGTTTCAAAAAAAAAAAATTCCACCTGAACCTAACCCTCAATTCAGAAATATTACTTAATATATGACAATATGACATATTCTATTGTTATCACTCTGATTGTAGTTATTGTTATTGTGAACCCCTGATATGCTAGAACTGGGGGTGCTTGAAGGCACTTCAGGGGTTATGTGAGGTTTGAAAATATATTTTAAATGAAGCATCCAAGCAAAAAAAATAAAATAAAAATGAGAGCTTGATCACAGCAGTTGCCTCCCTGGCACCAAGAATGACAAAGATCCTCAGTGAAGCACAAGCCCAAGTGAGTCACTAAACTGTCTCACTGAATGCAAAATGCAACAATGCAATGTTCAGTGCTGTCACTCTTCTTTTTATTATTAAGTAGATATTTTAAGACTTTTTTTTCTTAAGCAAAGCTGTTTTTAATGAAAATCAAGGTCAAGGTCTCATATTGAGAACAGATCTTTACCATCATCTCAAAGGAGGACACTTTGTGTTGAGAATTATTTCGATGTGCATCAATCTTTATTGATCATTAATTCTTTTTTTCCAGTTATATCTCTTCATTTCCAAGTAGCTCGAGAGATACAACAACAACTGGAGTTCCAAAGTTTCATAAATCAGACAATGATGGCACAGCAGTCTGTTTTAAGTCTCTCTCTTTTTTTTTTTTTTTTTTTTTTTTAATTTATCCAAAAATGCTTTGCACTGATTGGTGGGTATTTGGCTATTAAAAAATATATTCCAGAGTGAGTACATCAATGAAAAATGGTTGAGATCCACGGGGGCCAAGAAAAAAAAAGGGTAGATTCAGAATCAGCGCAAAAAAAATAGCAGTAAAGTTTACTTACAAGTCTGGTTAAAACGATTTTGTTAAAAAAAAAATTTTAAGTGTTGACAAGATTAAGATGTCAAAATTTGTCGTTTTAAAAATTTTCATTCCTGGAGAGAAAGTACAGTCGCCGTCATGAAATGTTTTGCTTGGTTAATTTCTGAATTTTCAAATGAGCCCACTGAGTCGGTCAACGTAAGGTGTAAAATGTGACAAGAAAATCATTTTTTTTCATGAAATAAAAATTTAAACAAAAATGCGTTTGGAAAAAAGAAAGGATGCATTTCATTCACTGCCAGCTCTTCCGTGAAACATGGATAGTGGGCAACTATTGCCATCAATGGCAGCAGCAAATATTAATGTGATGAAAGAGACAAGTTGACTTAATTCATATTTCCTCAGCACAATATACTGGCCCCCAACCTTTTTTGTGCCACAAACTTTTTTTTTGTTTGTTTGTTTGTTTGTTTGTTTGTGTGTTGAAGTTTGGCTCCGAACTGCAGATTTGTTTTCAAGAACATGAAACAAGAGAATAAATACAGGTTAACATGACCATTATGAATACACATCTTAAAGTAAGCCCTTTATTACGCATATTTATTTCTCCTCTTACATCCCCCCCCCCCCTCTCTTTCACATCAACCCATCCAGAGTATTTCTTGGAACTCCTGGACAATTCAGAGAGGTCTCTGAACGGCCTGTTCTCAAGGACATTTGGGAAGCTGTACATGAAAAACTCGGAGGTGTTCCAGGATCTGTTCACCGAGCTGAAGCGCTACTACACAGGGGGCAACGTCAACCTGGAGGAGATGCTCAATGATTTCTGGTCCCGGCTGCTGGAACGGATGTTCCAGCTATTCAACTCCCAGTACCACTTCACGGACGATTACCTGGAGTGTGTCAGTAAATACTCTGATCAACTCAAGCCCTTTGGAGATGTGCCCAGGAAACTGAAGGCCCAGGTCACCAGGGCTTTGATTGCCGCACGGACATTTGTCCAGGGCCTCATGGTCGGTCGGGAAGTTGCCAACAGGGTTGCCAAGGTCAGTTTCATGCGCCTCCTACTCTAACTGTGTTTGCCTATATTTGCCGCTATTTAAAAAAAAAAAAAGAAATTGTTTGACTGGAAAGAACTTCACCAATATGCCATTTTAAATATACCGTATATATGCACACGCACACGCACACACACACACACACACACACACACACACACACACAATCCAGTATAAACATGTCAATTACCAATACGTGTTTCTGGTACGAAGAAAACATTCAGTGAGCCAATGAAAAGTGCCTCTTCTCCAGTTCAGGCTGTGTCGCACCCCGAAGCCGTTTCCGATCATCTTTCAATCTGTTGGCATCGAACTCTGCCATGATTTTGTTGCCATTACGGATGATTGTTGAAATCAATTTCAGCCTTCGTAGACAGTGAGATTTGCTTCCGGTTCCCAGGCATGTTTTCAGACCAACTGCGCCGTGCCTCCGGAATTACAACAACGTATGAGTCGATCAGTAACGTTGCTAAGTAACGGAGGGGAATTCTGTGCTGTACATTTTGATCCCAAGCAAGGTTCGTGGCGGCAATGAGATTCCCGCGGTTTGGTGTAACTAAGGCCTTTTCACTATTTTGGGGGAAAAAAATAATACCGGAAAAAAAGAGCTCACTTTGATGCAGTGCATTTCTAGTACAAACGACAGCCACAATAGTCGACACATTTTTCAACTCGGGTGGAATTTGGTAGACTGCCGCTTTCATGCCAAACAATTCGAGCATAGTCCTCTTTTATTGGAATTCTCATAGCCACTGTTTCCTGTCACCAAAGGTTCTGCATTTATCCAACAAGAAAAGGGCTAAATGCAAACACACACATCGGGTCAGCTGAGCCCTCAAAATATTTTGGGTTCGCATTTTCCTTTATTTTGTTTTTGAGGGGGAAAAAACGATATTTTGAATCTTGTGATATTTTCTGACGATGTGCCTGTAGAATATGTTTTTTCTTAATTTCTTAATTTGACATTTTAAGATGACCCGGTGCAGAGAATATTTCATCTGCGCTCCCCTTACCCACCTGCCTTGGAAATATGACGTCATAATCATAATATCCGTGCTTCTTTGTCGTTGTCATTGTATTCCCTTCTAGACGTCGTCTGTTATGAATGTATCCTTGCTCTATTATTTAGATCGATTTACCGACATCAACAACCCACAGCAGTCATTCAACTTGGCTTTTAGCACGTCAAGGAAAGTGTTGCCAATTGTTAATGGCAGAGTTGCCCGAATAGGAAGCGTTGAAACGAGCAATGCATCAGTCTGGCACGCTCAGTCAGGATCAAGTCCCGCATTGCCTGGCCCCTCATCAATTATGAAGTGCAGCCAGGAAACAGTGTGGCATCGCTGAAGGCTGTCAGGCTGGTGACCGCCCATAAACCGGAGGTGAAAAGTAGCTCAACGTGACAAATCACCTTGACCCAGCAATTACCTTCACTTCTCCCAGCTCTCACTGTACACTGATTTTTTTCCGTCTGTCTCGCTGAACTGTCGCCAGTCACTGCTTCATGCCCGGTTTCGAGTTTATCGCCTCGCTTTTGAACCAAGGCCAGTTCCAAGGTCCTTTTTGGATTCTTCTCATCTGTCTGTCACAAGCAAGTCTGCGGTAAAAAAAAAAACAAAAACAAAAAAAACAGCCACTCTTGCAACAGTGAGCTTGTGCAAAATTAAGATTGACATCTACTGTATAATTACAAGTTAGAAGTGGTACATTTTCATATTCACAGCAGATTTGGATATACAACTTAGATCACTGGTGTATAAGTCAAGGCCCGGGGGCCAGATCTGGCCCGCCACATCATTTTATGTGGCCCGCGAAAGCAAATCAAGCATGTCAAGTTCCATGATGCTTGCTGAAATCTGAACCAAAATTTCAAATTGTCATATTTAATCCACAATAGCAGTCATTATTCTTGACTTCTGATTTTAAAACTATTTATTCCTCAATTTGTTGTGCACTGTATATGTAATATGTGGAGGTGATTAAACAGTTATATGGTTTCCCAAAATTCGTAACGGCCCTCCAAGGGAAACCTTAACTACAATGTGGCCCGCGACAAAAATGAGTTCGACACCCCTGACTTAGTTTGTTGCATAATTTTAGCCCCCCCCACCCCACACACACATATATATAATAGCAGAGAACATGGAAAAGGAGATTACTGCGATTGTAAATTGTTTCATTTCGTGGTGTTCGGTGATGTTCATGTCCTTTGGTGACTCACTAGCTACTGTATGGACTAAATTTACGGTACCGAAACGGAGCATTTAAAACTGCCAAAAGTGCCGTTGACACATGCCAGACAAGCTTCGAACCATCTGTCGCTTCACTTTTCCATGTTTCTTTTGCACAGGATGATACGAAAACAATGAGGGGAAGCAGAGATAATTTCAGCTTTTGTAACGTAGTCAGAGCAGGAGCGATATCACTCCACAAAATGCCATTGCAGCGGGCTCCAAGCGAGAGCACGGACATGGACGCCGTTGCCTGGATTAAGAGCAGAATCTCTCTGGATTACAGTTTATGATGACCATTAAGAGTTTTATCCTGGCGGTACTTAAAACACAGTCCGGCCACATTAAGACCTGCTCAGAGAAGATTGTGGGGATTTGGACCTTTTGAACGGTTTAAAGTTTGGGTATTTAGAGCACTTATCACTTACACTGCACGAGCTTGGGAAGCAGCTGCATGCCTACTGCATGTTTAGTCATGGTGACGGAAAAAAGTAGGGTACTTTGTACAGAGGGGATGTTTTTCTTTTTTTTTTTTCCCCTCCGACGGTGGATACTGTAATGCTGATCTCATTACCCGAGCTGGCAGACACTTTAACGGCAAGACCCAATGATGCTTTCTAATCTTGACAGGCAACATCCTCTCTGCGGTTGAGTTACATTTATTGTCATACTGTATGCGGAATGTTTACACTATCCAGGCCGAGTGGCTAGTTGACACGTTCAATCTTTGCTTTACTATCACTTGTTCTGGGCTCGAAGCCTTAGTTTGCTCAAGGGTTTTGCGCCGTAGAAATAATGGAAATCAAGCTATATTATTATTATTATAGTTATAATGAGGATTATTATGACATACATCTGCCCTAGAGGGAGAAAGAGAATACTGGTGTTATTATTATTATTTTTTTTTTAATAACCACAATGCTCCACAGGGTTTTGCAGATCATTTTCAAAATGAATTCTTCCTTCATTAGTACGTTAATTAGCTTCATAACTGGACATTTTAGGTCCTTTTTTTTTTCATGCCCGCGGAAAATCTACTTTCAAGCGGCGGACTCAAGATTTGCTCTCTGCAGAATCGGGATGGTTCCGGATTGTTCCAAAGCTGACTATTTCTCTCAATAAAGCTATCGTGCCACAGATGCCTCGGCACACTCTTTTGTCTCTCACCCTCTTGCTCAGCGTCTGTCTCGCTGGCTGCGAGCGTTCACAGCTTGCCTGGGACGAGGCCTCGGTCACAGCGCTGCACTGGCAGATGGCAACTGGCATCCGAAAAGGTTTGGCACATCATTGGGAAACGCGCAGCGGCAAAGATGACTTTTTTTTTTTAATTAAAAGATTTTGATCTGCGACGAACAGCCGAAAGTTGGAAAAGAGAGCGTGCGCTTTGAAATGCGAAGACATCAAAGGGTCATGAAGAAACTGACTATGGGATGCGCTTGCTCAGTTGGGATTTACTTTCTGACTCTTTCCGACTGTGGCATTGAGTCACTCTGCACCCGCCACCAGATCACATGCTGATGCTCTCATGACACCTCCATTTTTTTTTTTTTTGAGCAAGTTGTCAGCATTTGTCCCGGGATCTTCTTGCAAACAAATGGTCTTTTTTTTCCCCCCCTGTCTGACATTCAGGAGAGGATGCTGGCCTTCCCTCTGGTGAACAGGAGATGCGCTTTTATCTGCCAACCATGTGATGCAGAGGGACAATAATATTGTCGATGCATGTCATGTAACCACAAGAGATGGTAAATAGTTGGTGGTGCGGCGCCACGAGCACGAGGCTGGCTTTTAACATGTTGCCGCTTGTCTCTGTAAATTAAAGAAACAGTCCCGACCGCGGCTCCAGACATGCCACATAACATGATTCGTGTCAGGATAAATCAGCGGGACCATCCCAGAGCGCGGCAAAGACAGACAATCGAGCTGACTCATGCAGGTCACACGAGGGACCGCGGTGCTCTTTCGGAGTCACATTTGCCCGAGTTATGAAGATTCTGACAAGACAGGCAGACATGCGTTGATTCACAGCAGCCTCTCTCGCATCTTCTTCGGTGCCGGCCTACATTGAACATGAGGAATACAGGGAGTCTCAAGTTGAGGGGAGGTGTTTGGCGAGGCGGGCGGAGTTCCAGATGAATTAAATCGGCGGGGCGCTTAACCACTCAATATCGTGACTTTATAACCTAAGCTCCATCCACTAAACTTGGAAAAAAATAAATACGTCACCCTCATGATCATAAAGAAGACACAATTAGAATGCACCACATGGCTCCCTTCACATCGGCACTACAGCAGGTGTAGTTGTCTTTTCCTCCCCGTTGCGCATGTTGTTTTGAAGCTAGAAGAAGATGAGAGAGGAGCAAACGGCTGAAGTCTCCTTTGAGCTGCGCCAGGGCGCAAAGATCATAGCTGTCACCATTACGTTTGCTACAAGTAAAAAGAAAAAAAAAATGAGCAACTGTAGCTTTCAATCAGGCAACGGTTTGTATGTTCGTTGGAATACTAAAGTACACTCTCACCATCGGATGCATTCAAATCCCAGAAAGAGAAAACAAAAATAATTCATTCCGCTTCTGAAATGAGATTTTTTTTTTTTTCAGCAGACTAACTTCTGTCAACAGAAAACGAATTTTCTACTTGTTTTGCTTGCTGCTTTGCATTCAAGCGATGGCAGGAAAAGATGATCCAAAATGGGACCGACTCACAACTATTCAGCCAGACAAGTTGTATTTTACAGCAGTGTCACAAGCTATGCTCCACAATTATGGAGAAAAACCAAAAAAACCAAATAGGTAAAGCCAGTTTTTTCATTGCACTTTGAGTAACCACCCACAGCTTAGAGTGCCAATATGAACTTTACCTGCAATGTGTTAAAATGTAATAATAATTCAATTTCATCAACGTTGCATATTTTGTACTAGACACCAGTCGGTCTAAAGAACTTTTTTTTTTTTTTTTTTTTTTTAATATATACTAGACAGTCATCATGAAGGCATTTTATCAACTGTTTTGTGATTGCAGGGGGTGTGGGCGTTATTTCCCCTCGGGCACCTAAACCTCATCCCAGTCACTTTTATTTTTTTGGCACGCGGAAATCTGACAGCGTGATTCGACATTAGATCCCTTGTCAGCGCTGCACAAGGCGAGCGTTTGATGTGGGATTTTAGGATTTACTCCAACCTTCTGTGAGCACATACACGATTCTTGTAAGGAATTACTCGAACATCAGTTCACTGCCCCCCCC